AAGAATAGGATACAAACCTCATTAGCCCTTTGGTTTGTCCAGTGACATAGTAACAGGGAGTGGGATGTGGTCAGGCGGCAGCCATGTGTGCGGAGCACCCCCTTGCCACCAGAACAGGAACCTACCTACTGGTGCATTACTTGTAGGGGTACCGTGCAGAAAGTGCCTGTTCTGCGGCTGAAAGTGGTAAGGTGACTGCTGGTCTAGGTGCCTAGCTCCCTCATATGTTCTTTTGGGAGCTGGGATGTGACATCACCCCAGAACTGTGAGGGGTGGGACAATCAGTGCAGACTGATCCCAGCAGCTTCCCACAGAACACTAGGGATGACATTTCACTCTAGATCCTTTTAAGCATAACAAAAAGGAGGCTGTAAAAAAAAAAGGGGGGGGGGAGGTGCATGGATGTAAGTATGCATGTGTACAAATCGGTGTGCGCATATGAGTCAGTGTGTGTTAATGTGTCTGTGTATGTTGGTCTGTCTGTGTGTGTGCATGTATGAGACTGTATGTGTAAATAGTTTGTATTTAAAATAGTATTTGTATTTAAAATGACTGCTGAAGGCGCCTGCTGAAACGCAGTATGAAGTCTGAAACATGATGTCTGTCTGTACTCATTGTATATCCAGCAGAGAATCTGCAAAAACTGCGGAAACATGATTAGTCTGAATTGCGATGTCCAAGATGGATATTTCCAAATGTTCGACTTGTGATATGCTGGCGATGCACTACAATAAATTTTCAAATTTGCATCAGTCATTGGGGAAATTTGTTATATTATGCCGTCACCACAACTTTTTTTAATATTGAGCTATATGCTGCCAGAAAGACTTCAACTCCTGGACCAAAGCCGACACAATTCTGATGAGAGAAAAAAGGTCAAAACTGCTAATTTGCATATTTAGCAGGGCATTCTGGAAGAATAGTGGAACATGATTAATCTGAATTGCTGTGTTCAGGGTGAATATTTTCCAATGGTATGACTTTTGATATATACATGATTCTGAACAGTAAGTAAAAAAATAAATTAACAAAAAAACTACATCAGTTTATCTTGGATTTTTTTAAACTACTTAAGGACCAATGACATGACATCATCACAGCTCTTTCTCTGAAGACCCTTTGCTGGTTTGCAATTCCCTCTTTATTTAACAAATGCAGATGTACACAATCCTGTTACCATTACACGAGTAGTACATTCTAAGTTAATACAGAACCTTAAAGGCTGGATTGTTTTGCCATTGGTCCTTAAGGATTGTGACCAATCATTTTGTGCATTCTTTTGCAGAATCAGATATAACATGCAAAAAGTAAACCATATGGTTTACAAAAAAGCAATATCTTCATGCTAATAAAATGGTAAATGTACTATATATAGTGTGCCAATTGTCAGATCTATTGCAACCAGGACCTTAGCTCTTCCTGATGAATTGAAAATTAGTAGCAAATAAGTTATTCACCATACGCTTGAAATGAGAAAATTAAGGGCATCTTTTAATTCATTTGCAATAATTTCACAGATTTATGTTAGTGAAGCCCAGAGAGCTTTTGATAACATCTGTTTTAGTAAATAAGGCTAACAAAGGTAAGTAGTACAGCGCACAACAGAATATCCCTTGATAAACAGTGCGGGTCTTTTTAAATGTGTGATGTGCTCAGTGCTAATAATCATACAAAACGCAATTAAAGAATTCTGATCTTTTACAGAAACAATATGTTTACCATTTTATATGCTGTAAATATTCTCACTGAATATCAAATCCACACTTCTTTGTTATACAATCCATTCAAGCAGTAATATTCTTTGGAGGGCCAGGGTATTGAATCATATATTGAAACTAGCTATGAGTATTTCATTAGCAAACAAATTTAGTAATTTCTGTAGACTTATGGAAAGTGCTATTAAACCCTGGGGAAACTTCTGGCAGCAAAACAAATTTTTTGCTATGCATCTCATTTACATAAATTTAATATGTTGTTAGTCTATACTTGTGTTTGATAGTCACTGTTCAAATGTTCAGTTAATGGAATTAAAACTGCAGCATTGTATAATGTAGTGTTGTGCTTAAGGCATGTCACTGTATTCTAGTAGTATTCCTACGTAGGAAATATTCATGTATAAAATATGTAAGGAGCCAGCTGCATTTGGGAGATAATACTAAATTTTTATAACACATTTTCTAGGATTGCCTTTAGTTTATAAGATTTTTATTATTGTAGCCATGATTCTATTTTCTTTATATACATAAATAGGTATATATATATATATATATATATATATATATATATATATATATATGTGTGTGTGTGTGTGTGTTTGTTCCTGTGTTGTCCAGAGATTAAAGTAACCTTAAAGGAACACTATAGAGTCAGGAACACAAACATGTATTCCTGTTAAAACCATTTAGATGGCTTGCCCCCCCCTTAACATGTAATAATACTCAACTTATTTTGAGTGTGGCTCAGGTCCACCGATGCTGCCCCCCCCACCCAACGATCTGCCTCCTTTACTAACATTATCAGAATTCATGATCACAGCCAATCCAATGCTTTTCTTGGCTTAGATTGTCAAGGAGGTGGGGTAGGAACAGGGCCAAACACTGGCTTGACTGATCAGCATCTCCTCAAGGAGACATTGAATGTCAGTCTCTAGCGGCTGTCTGAGGAGTGGCCACTGGAGGTGTTCCTAAGATGTAATGTAAACACCACATTTTCTCTAAAAAGGTAGTGTTTTCAGCAATAGGCCTGCAGGGACATAATATAGACACTAGAACAACTACATTATGCTATAGTAGTTCTGGTTTCTATGGTGTCCTTTTCAACTAACCCTAGTCGTAACCTAATACTAACACCATCACTAACTCCTCCATGTGTTTAATAAAATCATGACTTTACTTCATGTAAATAGTAAAATCTTGGAATTTGATTACAGACATGGAGGCATGTTATGCAGTTTCAAAGCTGATCAATCATCAGTGAAGAAAAATGTTCGATAGAACGACAGTAAAAGTCTCGAAACGTAGATTTGTTAGACCAATCGGCTGCCTTCAGGGTATCATCCAAACGACAGCCTATCGTCGAAGCCTTGGAGGCCATATCCCCACACACAGAATGGGATGAAATGCTTGAGACATCTATCCCAGCTCTAGAGAGCATCCATCTGGTCAAATGGGCCAAAGTGGGAGATGAAAGGGGAAGATGTGGTTTCTGAAGAGAAATAAATAAAGCACTTTCCTGGGGAGATCAAAGAGGAGCCGTGCAATCTAGATATTCTTTCAGACATAGTACTGGACACAGATTAGGTTTGTTAGGAAATTCTGGATAAAATCCTTGTTTGTTTGATGACTTAGTTCTCTAAGAAATGTTGAAAGAAGCTCCACATGGTTGGAAGGTGATGGCAGTCCAGTACAGAGCCCTGACATCTGAAACCCGTTTACTTGAAATTAGGCAAAGGAGGATGAGTAACTTCGCTGAAAGTTGTTGAAGTGAGAGTTCTTGATTCACCGGCCAATTGTCCAAGAAAATGAGGACAATGTTGACATCTCAAAAGGCAGAGCATCTAGCCGTTGGAGGTCTCGACAATCGAATCCCTTTTTATAAGGTGACAAATAAAAGGGTGATTTCCACCTGTAATTCCCATAAAACCTTGGTGTCCTACCAATATCGCTGATCTATGTACATTAATGGTGCAGTACGCCTTACCTGTCTCGAACATGCATGTGAGGAAATGCAGTATCTTATTGAGAGGGGCAGATATGGGATCCACCTCCCTCACCAGGCACCAGCTAGTCCATGATCTCCACGCTGAGTGGTATGCTTTTCTAGTGCCTGGTGCCCATACCTGTGACAAAAGTTTGAGAGTCGACTGTGGAACATCAGAAATGGCCCAGGGTCCCCAGAAAGGAGTAAAGCCATTAGGCGTAACAATCCTCCGACCACTAGATCGTGTGAGTTCCCATGCGGATCGGTCAGCAACTCTGGTAGGTCCGGGAGCAATCACGTGAAATCCATTGACATCTACAGAAGTCTGGAGAACCATGACTGTGTCCTCGATAAGGGGGTGACTAAGACCATGGAACATCTGTGCCGCCTGAGATGGATGAGGGTCCGAGGTATGAGATTGAATGGTGGGAACGCATAATGCCTTGTTTGTGGCCATTTCTGCATGAACGCATCGACCACTAGGGCTGCTGGGTCTGGTCTCCAGCTGTAAAACCTCAGAAGCTGTACGTTCAATAGGGAAGCAAATAGGTCGACGTCCCCACAGTGCCCGCAAGTGATGAAAGGTTTGCCTGTCTAGCTTCCAGTCCTAGAGGTATCTGGAATTCCAATTCACCGTGGAGTTGTCCATTCCAGGAATATGTTCTGCAATCACTGAGATGTTTGGCGGAGACAAAAGTGCCAAAACTCTTTGGTGAGGAGAGCTAACATGTTCGATTTTGTGCCACCCGGGTCATTTATGTACCTCACTACTGACACAGTGTCCATTTTGAGTAGGACACAACAGGTGATGTTGGTGGGAGTAAGGCTGCAGATGGCAAAGGAACCCGCAAGACGTTCCAAGCAATTGATGTGAAGCAAGGATTCCTCCTCTGATCACCTGCCGCCAGTGGCACTATTTCTGTAGCATGCTCCCCAGCTGTGTAAGCTGGCGTCCGACTCTATAATCAAGTCTGGTGCCGCTCTGAATATCGCCCGGCCGTTCCAAGCATCCATGTGGGTGAGCCACCAAGCTAGTTCCTCCCTGGAGTCCACATCGAGAGTGAGATGCGTTTCTTATGTGTGGCCTGTGCGTAGGTAGGAGCCTTTGAGTCTCTGTAGTGCTCGATAGTGTAGTGGCCCTGGAAAAATTGCCTGGATGGATGAGGTGAGCAGGTCTACTCACTCACGAGTGCTAGTTGCCGCACTGGTAAGTCTGGGGCCCGTACTGTTCATTTGATCTGGGTTGTATAGGTGTGAACACTAGGTCTAACTGGTAACCCTATACAGTCTGGAGGACCCACCGGTCTGATGTAATCATGTGCCACACATGGGAAATCTTGGCCAATCTGCAACCCACCCGTACCTGGGAGGAAGGGGTAAACACTTACCATAGGGCCGTCGTCCTGATGCAGCTCCTCTCAAGACCCGTGGTGGCCATGGCCGTCCTCTTGAGGGGAAAAATGTAGATGGTTTATATTCCGGGGAATATCTCGGGAAGTGAGAGGAACCTCTGGGGGCTGTAAATTGTCCCAGATAGCCTCGGCCGGTTGGACGACTCCTGGATCTCCCTGCCCCTCCAAAAACCTTGAGCGTGAACACCCTTTTCAAATTGACCTGTGTCTTGTTAATTGCTGTGAAAGTCTTCACTAACATGCCCAGATCCCTAACGAATGAGTCCCCAAATAGCATGCCCTTTGCAGCTGGACCAGGCTCAGTAACGGCCATATTGACCAATTTGGGGTTAATATTCAGTAATATGGCCTTGCGGCGTTCTGTTGCCATAGCTGTGTTGGCATTACCCAACAGACAAATTAGGCGCTGTACCCACCTGATAGCCACATCAAAATCCATGGCAGTTTCCCCTGCCTTGGCGGACTCTAAGAGCTCGTAGAGCTTGGACGCTGGGCCAGTCACCTCCAGGATCTTATCCTGACAATTCTTGAGTGAGAACTCCAAACCTTTTTTGGGCTTCCATCTCGTTTTTCCCTAAAAACTGGGAAATCTTGAGGTCCACTTCTGGGATTCTACAAGCCTCATCGGACATGATAGGGTGGGGGCATTCAGCTTTAAGTTCTTGGCGCCACTCCTTAGATAGCGGTCTGCGCATGCATAGTGCCAAATAGTTTCCAATGTGAGTCTGTGGTTCCCACTCCGCGGAACGAGGTTTGCGCTAGTTATCCGGGTCGAACAGGGGTTGTCCCGAATGCGGCTGTTAAGCCGCGGGCAAGGAAGGGAGACCTCAGGTGATAGGAGAAGATCAGATACAAGAGGGGGCAGAGGGAAACCCAGGGAGGTCCCCAAAGAGTTGGCACCCCAGAGAGGGTTGTCAAAGCATACACCAGGGAAAGACAAATTACGTATATCTGAAGTTATAGCATAAAACAGAAAAGGTAAAAATGAAAAACTTAGCTGTCTGAGGGAGCAGCAAGAAAGAGGAAGAACAGGATGTGACAGTTTCCTTTGTATGGACACCTGTAACCTGATTGGCTGCCCTGTTCATAGGCAGATTTATATTTGTTAAATTACTTCATTTTTCTCTTAATTGTGTTGCTGCTTAGGGAATAAAGTAGAACGAGTCTGTAATAAAATCATTTGGCCAGCGTTTGTGACTAGGTTGCTACTACGAAAGACTGGAAATACCCCATTTGGAATACCCTGGGTTGTCTACGTTTGAAAATGGTATGCCATGATAGGGTTATTTCACATTCCTGGGCTACCATATGGTCTCAAAAGGCAACACAGACCCAACAAACCAATCTGGCAAACTGAATTGGGCAAGTCCTATATTGACCCTGTACCTTTTCAAAACACCATAAAATCTGTACGTGGGGTGTATTGTTATACTCGGGAGACTTCGCTGAACACAAAAAATGAGTGTTTACAACAGTAAAACTTATCAGTTTTGTGTTAAAAAAATGCAAAAAACAAATATGAACGCTAATTTTGGCAAGCGTTTTTGGCTAAGTGGCTACTACAAAATACTGGATATACCCCATTTTGAATACCATGGGTTGTCTGCTTTTACAAATGGTATGCCATGATGGGGTTAATTTTCATTCCTGGGCTGCTATACGGTCTCAATGGCACCATAGGCTCAGCAAACCAATCTAGCAAATTTCAATTTCAAACATGGAAAAGGGGAAAGTCCTACATTTGACCCCTGTAAGTTTACAAAAACCCATAAAACATGTGCATTGGGGGCACTGTTGTACTCAGGAGATGTTGCTGAACAGATATCGGCGTGTTCTTTGGCAGTAACCCTCAGAGTTCTCCGTACATGAGAATACACACCTAAAGTACAATGTGAGGGAAAAATAACACAAAAAAATGACTACCCAAAAGTTTGACAAAGACTGGTGGTAGAGTTAGTGCATGGAAAGTGTTAAAATATCACCATTTGAAATAAATGGTTTGATGGGGGTAAATTACATTGGCCGGCTTCAAAAATGTCCCAAATAGGACATGGGTGCATGATGACCATCTGTGAAAATTCCAAGTTGGAAAACTGGAATGCGCACCCTCCAAATAAGGTCTGTTAGCCCCCATAGAACCCGACACACCTGCATATGGGTAGTATCACTGTACTCAGGAGATGCTCCAGTGTATATTAAATATCTGGAGCAATGAAAGAATCAGTACACAGACAGTTTCTGCAAACTGAATCTTTGCCAAAGATCAATGGCCACATTCTGCTTCTCCATGACGAGTATGTTTTCCTGGCACTATAGTGGTCCTTTAATGGTAAGAAAATTGAAAAACGGTCTGGTCACTAAGGGGTTAAAATCACTTCCAACCTTCTAGTCATCCTGTCCTCCAGCACAGCAGACCCTCATCCATTTAGGTGCAATCCATTATGGCTATAAAGATTGTACCCAAGAGCAAAATCAGTCCAGTGCCGGCTTAAAAATAACCTACTTAAGAGAGACTACTTTTAAGTGACTCCAAAGGAGCAAGCTCAGTGAGTCTGTATGTGAATTAATGTCTGCTAGTCATTTTGGACCACATCCTATGCTTTAAAAGGATGTATTAAATGGTTGGGTGTAAAGGTTTGGTAAGGTTGTATTAAAAGGTTTGTATATGCAGAGGTGTATGCAGAATTCATTACATGATACCTTCAATAATCATGTAAACGGAACATTAGAAAAGGGAAGACATGACTGAAGCAACTTTTACAGTAATATTGTAACAGAATCATTACTTCAGCTCTGTCTGTAGTGTATATTAAATATCTGGAGCAATGAAAGAATCAGTACACAGACAGTTTCTGCAAACTGAATCTTTGCCAAAGATCAATGGCCACATTCTGCTTCTCCATGACAGCAACCTTTACATCAATATCAAACAAAATACCACATTTTCCTTCTCTTGCCAGAGATGTCTCTAATGATTGTCATAATATAGCTGCAAAATATTTCACCACTGTCATGTTGCGAAGGGTTAAAGGAGAACTGTCATTTCAGTTTACACGATTGAATAAAGCATTGAAAACCTCCTCTAACTTGTGTTAATATTTTTATTTCTTTCAAAAGATGCCCATGCTTTTTAATATTATATTATAGATTTAGCAAATTACATCACCTTTATTTCAGGCACGGCAAACCCAGTGCGAACATTCTAGATTAAAAAAAACATTCTTTAATTTCTCTTCTGCTCTGTATCTTTGCCCTATGCAAACTGCAGTCTGTAAGAGAGAAAACTAATAACAATGACTGACAGAGGGCTAAGATGGCGGCATGCTGTTACAGAATAAAGAGGTGTTGATTTAGAAGTTTAATTCACCCACTCTCATTGGACTGGAATTAAACATTTATATAAATACCTCCCATTTAGGCCCCATACCTCAGTTCATATAAAGCCACACAACTCAAGGTGGTACCGTAGTCCTGCCATGGCCCATTACTGGAAATAGAAATTATCGGTAAGTTTGAATTTTCTCTTTTCCTGGCCATGACCATGGCAGCATTATTCCTGGGACATGCCCAAGCTAAACCAACTAGGGAAGAAAATAAATAAATCAGCAAACAGATATTGCTGCAACAAAAAATGTATTTATACAAATTATGAAGTAAAAAGGACGGCTGTGGTACTTTCCATTCCTTGAGAGGATCTGACATCCAATTAGTAATGATGGATGAATGTATGATGCGAGGACCTCGTGGCTGCCCTATAGATATCAGAAAGAATAAGTGTTACAGCTGCCCAAGAAGTAGAAAGGGCCCTTGTGGAATAAACCTTTAATAACTTAAGGACCTGAATATTTTTAACCTCAAAAGCTTTGCATATAGCTGTGGTAATCCACCTGGAATTAGCTTTATTGGAAGCCATCTCGCCTTTATTCTGACCTCCTGAAACGATGAAGAGCCTTTGAGCTTTCCTCCCATCATCAGTTCTGTTAGGAAAAACTGACAGGCACCTAACCACAACCAATTGATGAAGATTTCTTTCCTCTTCAGAAGAAGGGAAAGGGAAGAAAAATGGTAAGTCTATTTCCTGGTTCAGATGAATAGACATCACTCTAGGTATAAATTCTGGTACTGTTTTCAGAATAACCTTATCCAGGAGAAATAACATGTACCTACAATCTAAAGAAAGAGCTCCCAATTCTGATACTCTTCTTCTGGAGGTAAGAGCTATTAGAATCACCATTTTGAGTGTAAAAAACATCATAGGTGTCCTCCACTGGCTCAAAATAGGCTGACTGAAGAGCTCACAGTACCAATGGAAGATCCCAATGAGGGGATGCAGATTTCAAAAGAGGTCTTATCTGGTGGACTGCTCTGAAAACTCTAGTCTGGATGTAATTCCCATATGAAGTCTGAGAGAGCTGATGGGGCTGAGATTTGTACCTTAAGTCCTTTGTCTAATCCTTCCTACAGGAAGCTCAATAACTCTGCTGCAGTGAAAGACACCGGTAGATACTGTTTCTGGCTGCCCAGTGTCGGGATTACTGTTTGATCCAGCACGTAAAACTGTACAGCACGAATGACAAATAAGTAACGTATTACCGGTCCTTAGAATGGCTGGATTTAACGTACAAAGAATAGTCAAAATTACTAGCCGAGGTCAGGGAACACAGAAAGGGACACAGCGATGAGGAAAGCCAGGAGTCAGGATACCAGAATATAGAGAAGTCAATAAACAAAGCCAAAGTAAAAAACCAGGTAGAAAACTATAAACAGGAACGCGCTCTCGGACAACCACAAGGGAAACCACGACAGGGCACTGAGCAGGCTGAGAACTGAGCCTAAATACCCCTCCTTTAGTTCTGATAGGCTGTAACCGGCCTTTGACCCTAAAGTCAGTTACCAGGTTTCATTTGCATAATGTAAGGGTATTTATATCGGCAGACATTTTGTGCTATGATAGAAATTAAAAGTGTATATTCTGAGTCACTCTGAACAGACCAGAGTCCATTTTGTTATTTCCAAGCTAACAAAAAGACACAAGATTTCTAGCTGTAAAACTAACCATTTTCCCAGAGCTAAATGAATGCATAGTATAAACAAGTGATAAGGAGAACAGGGGTTGGATAGACTGTCTAATGCTAATGGAATAGATCAAATCTAAACCCAGACATTTGTGACAGAGAAGATTAAATAATAACATTTTACTGTCTATATGTGTAAGGTACCATTGTAAGTTATGGGTCAAAACTCAGATTTGCCAGACACATAGTCTGGACAAAACTTAAAGAAACCCTTTGAAATTTTAAGTTATGGCACTATAAAGATAACGCAAAATGACGTCAAAATAGCCACCAAGAAAAGTTAACTCTTTCCTGGATAGGTATGTTTAGTGGGACAAGACTGCCCTCTATAGACTAAATACCTAAATTGCGATCTGGAAGATAACCACACCTCTAGTGCTTCTATTGGGTTATCAACTGATGACATACAGAGAGTCTGGCCCTTTAAAAGTTAGGACAAAGGGAAGATAGGATATGCAAAGGAGAAAGAAAAAGAGGAGAGAGGAATTGGAAGTTTGGGGACTCCAACTCGGACATGCAGAGAATCCCAGGACAACATCTGAGACTAACACTCTACTCTTAAAACTCTAACACTTAGAATTTTACTGACTTTCTAACCAACACCACCTTTCACCACAACTCATGCACCTGCAGACATCCAAATAAGTTCCTGAGACTATCTACCAATCGGATGAAATATCTACTTAACTGGTAATTATACTGGTTTCATTTAATTAATTTAAATTAATTAAAGTTTATTAATAGCATGATATATATGACTGGATAAAGCACGGTCAGATTTCCATATTAAGAAATCTTAGTTAACTAAAGAATATATAGTTATAAACATTCCATTCTGCAGGTGGAATTAAGAATAATTATATATTAAGGTGATATTATCACATGTTAGCATACCGCTGTTTTTATCCATGTGTATTGATTTGTTCTAATATAAGATAAGATATCTGTTAGACCAATTAAAATTCTGCTTATATAAATATGGTAGATTCTCTTATTGGATGGTTCCAGGAAATGACTAATGAACTGGTTTAAATGTTATTTTATTTAAAATTACATAAGAATAGATCTTAATTACCTAGGAGATCTAGCCAGCATTGAAAGGGTTATTCTAACTGTTAGCCAGGGTTTTATGGCCCTTCGCTGTGAAAAGTTTCACTTTCAGTCTGTGAAAGATAGTCATAAATAAAGTCTTGACAGAAAATGCTGTTTAGCCGTTGAGACGTGTGTAGCCATTTCTTTGTATTGCATATCATTTTACTGGATATGTTGCATATTATTATTATTAATTAACTTGTTATTATAAATAAAATCTATTTTTATACATTGTGAATATTATTTATATGAAATACTTCTCACTTAACACGATAACAATCTTTGGGTCTGAGAATTGAATTAGTGGGCAATTCTCACTGTTACTATTATTATCCCATAAATATCCCCACAATAATTGCTGCTCAGCATTAACCCTTCTGTGGATTAGGTTGCTGCTCGGCACAACTTTTCCTGTGTGGACAGTAAATGTCATTAACCACTTTTCTATAAGCGGATGAATACATGAGACCAGGTTTCATTTGCACAATTACTGCTCAGCATTAACCCTTCTGTGGATTAGGTTGCTGCTCGGCACAACTTTTCCTGTGTGGACAGTAAATGTCATTAACCACATTTCTATAAGCGGATGAATACGTGACATTACCCCCCACCTGAAGAACGCCCACCGGGCGGACAGGACCAGGCTTGAGAGGAAATTTAGCGTGAAAAGCGCGGATCTTACGGCCCGCATGCAGGTCAGGAGCCGAAACCCAAGAACGATCAGCAGGACCGTAACCTTTCCAAACAACCAAGTACTGTAAAGTGCCCCGAGAAAACCTAGAATCCACGATAGAAGATACCTCATACTCTTCCTGACCACCCACCACCACCGGAGGGGGAGGAACACAAGGAACAGTATATCTATTGCAGACAAGAGGTTTGAGTAAGGACACATGAAAAGTGTTGGGAATCCCTAAAGATGCAGGAAGAGCCAGAGAGTAAGACACTGGATTGATCCTACGAAGCACTCTATAGGGACCAAGGAATCTGGGGGCAAACTTCATGCTAGGGACCTTAAGCTTGATGTTGCGAGATGACAACCAAACCCGGTCCCCCACTTGGTACACCGGGTTGGCACTCCTACGCTTATCAGCAAAATGTTTGAAGCGTTCAGCAGCAGCCCCTAGAGCAGTTTGAACCTTAACCCAGGTATCCCGAATGGAGGCCAGACGCTCATCCAGAGCAGGAATGGCAGTATCAGAAAATACCGCAGGGAGAACCGTAGGATGCCTACCATTATTGACAAAAAATGGACTGTACCCAGAGGAGTCATGAACAGCATTGTTTCTAGCGAACTTGGCCCACGGGAGTAGTTCGGACCAATTGTCTTGTGTGCTATTAATAAAACAACGCAAATAAACTTCTAATGACTGGTTAGCCCTCTCAGCTGTACCATTGGTCTGTGGATGGTAGGAGGAGGAGAAGGCAAGATCAATCCCCACTTGTTTACTGAACGCCCTCCAGAACCTGGACAAAAACTGAGAGCCCCTATCAGACACAATATTGTGGGGGATGCCATGCAAACGGACAATTTCACGTATGAAAATTAGAACCAAATCTTGCGAAGATGGCAACTTCTTGAGAGGAATGAAGTGAGCCATCTTAGAAAATCGGTCTACAACCATGAGAATAGTAGTGAACCCAGCAGAGCTAGGAAGCTCAACAATAAAGTCCATGGATAAGTGGGACCATGGAATCTCAGGAACAGGAAGAGGCTGCAACAGGCCACAAGGAAGTGCATTAGTCACCTTAGAAACTGCACACACAGAACATGCCTGCACATACTCCTTTACATCTTTCATAGAAACATAGAAACATAGAAACATAGAATGTGACGGCAGATAAGAACCATTCGGCCCATCTAGTCTGCCCATCTAGTCTGAATCCCACCAAAATGATCTAGTGATCGCGGCAGTGGACTTATTGATGCCCGGGTGTCCAGCAGTTATATTGTCATGGAACACTTTCATTGGGGAACGAACAGTTTATCACACGGTTTACCACTGGGCGCCTGAGGCTGGGCCTCCAGTATGGTGCCAAGCAGTGGAGAAGACAGTGAGAGGACAGTAGTAGCAATAATACACTCTGGTGGAATAATAGGAGATGTCACCTGTTCCGGAGCTGACTCATTATCAAATTGCCTGGACAAGGCATCAGCCTTGGTATTTTTAGAACCAGGTCTATAAGTAAAGTTAAAAAAAGAAAGTTAAAACATGAAAGGAACAGTGACCATCTAGCCTGTCTGGAAGACAAACGTTTGGCATCCCCTATATATGCCAGATTTTTGTGGTCGGTTATGATCAACAGGGGGTCCTTGGAACCCTCCAAAAGATGTCGCCACTCCTTGAGGGCAAGAATAATGGCCAACAGTTCTCTATTGCCAATATCGTAGTTGCGCTCAGCAGGAGACATCTTTCTGGAGAAGTAGCCACAAGGATGCAATGGTGTTCCCTGGCTTTCTCTCTGAGAGAGAACAGCCCCTACCCCTGTCTCGGATGCATCAACCTCCAATATAAAAGGTTTACTAGTGTCGGGATGTTTTAGTATGTCCGCAGAGGCAAATCTTTGTTTAAGAGTCTCAAAAGCATTCACAGCCTCTTTGGACCATACCGTGCTACTAACCCCTTTGCGAGTCATATTTGTGATTGGGGCTATTACAGAAGAAAATCCCTTGATGAATCTTCTGTAATAGTTGCCAAAACCAATAAAACTTTGAATGGATTTTAAACCAGAGCGTAATGGCCAGTGTAGTACAGCCTCTAGTTTTTTAGGATCCATTTGAAATCCTGATGCAGAGATGTTGTAACCCAAAAAGTGGACTTCAGGCTGGTCAAATATGCACTTTTCTAATTTACAATAAAGTTTATTTTTCAACAACGTCTGCAGAACCTGTTTCACATGGGAGTGGTGAGTTTGAAGATCAGGGGAATACACCAAAATATCGTCCAAATAAACCAAGACAAATGAGTAAATGAATTCCCTGAGTACATCATTTATAAAGTCTTGGAATACGGCCGGGGCGTTGCATAACCCAAATGGCATTACCAGATATTCATAGTGTCCACTACGGGTATTAAATGCCGTCTTCCACTCATGATTCTCTTTAATTCTAACCAAATTGTAAGCGCTCCTAAGGTCAAGCTTAGTAAATACTTTAGCTCCCTGAAGTCTATCGAACAATTCGGAAATGAGTGGGATAGGGTATGCATTTTTTACAGTGATTTTATTAAGTGCCCTGTAGTCTATGCAAGGGCGTAACTCACCACCCTTTTTCTCAACAAAAAAGAATCCTGCACCAGCTGGTGAGGATGACTTTCTTATGTGCCCTTTGCTCAAGGATTCTTTGATGTATTCCTACATTATTTTACTCTCCTGGGGAGATAAGGCATAAACTGCCCCCTTAGGTGGCATAGCGCCTGGAAACAGGTTAATGGCACAGTCATATGCTCTGTGGGGATGCAATACATCGGATTGAGCCTTGTTAAACACCTCCTGAAGTTCTCGGTATTGTATGGGAACTCCAGGAGTTTGGGGAGTGGTAGTGGGAAGGTCAATAGTATCCAATCTCTTTAGTACTGGTTTTATACAGGGAGTGCAGAATTATTAGGCAAGTTGTATTTTTGAGGATTAATTTTATTATTGAACAACAACCATGTTCTCAATGAACCCAAAAAACTCATTAATATCAAAGCTGAATATTTTTGGAAGTAGTTTTTAGTTTGTTTTTAGTTTTAGCTATGTTAGGGGGATATCTGTGTGTGCAGGTGACTATTACTGTGCATAATTATTAGGCAACTTAACAAAAAACAAATATATACCCATTTCAATTATTTATTATTACCAGTGAAACCAATATAACATCTCAACATTCACAAATATACATTTCTGACATTCAAAAACAAAACAAAAACAAATCAGTGACCAATATAGCCACCTTTCTTTGCAAGGACACTCAAAAGCCTGCCATCCATGGATTCTGTCAGTGTTTTGATCTGTTCACCATCAACATTGCGTGCAGCAGCAACCACAGCCTCCCAGACACTGTTCAGAGAGGTGTACTGTTTTCCCTCCTTGTAAATCTCACATTTGATGATGGACCACAGGTTCTCAATGGGGTTCAGATCAGGTGAACAAGGAGGCCATGTCATTAGATTTTCTTCTTTTATACCCTTTCTTGCCAGCCACGCTGTGGAGTACTTGGACGCGTGTGATGGAGCATTGTCCTGCATGAAAATCATGTTTTTCTTGAAGGATGCAGACTTCTTCCTGTACCACTGCTTGAAGAAGGTGTCTTCCAGGAACTGGCAGTAGGACTGGGAGTTGAGCTTGACTCCATCCTCAACCCGAAAAGGCCCCACAAGCTCATCTTTGATGATACCAGCCCAAACCAGTACTCCACCTCCACCTTGCTGGCGTCTGAGTCGGACTGGAGCTCTCTGCCCTTTACCAATCCAGCCACGGGCCCATCCATCTGGCCCATCAAGACTCACTCTCATTTCATCAGTCCATAAAACCTTAGTCTTGAGATATTTCTTGGCCCAGTCTTGACGTTTCAGCTTGTGTTTCTTGTTCAGTGGTGGTCGTCTTTCAGCCTTTCTTACCTTGGCCATGTCTCTGAGTATTGCACACCTTGTGCTTTTGGGCACTCCAGTGATGTTGCAGCTCTTAAATATGGCCAAACTGGTATCAAGTGGCATCGTGGCAGCTGCACGCTTGACTTTTCTCAGTTCATGGGCAGTTATTTTGCGCCTTGGTTTTTCCACACGCTTCTTGCGACCCTGTTGACTATTTTGAATGAAACGCTTGATTGTTCGATGATCACGCTTCAGAAGCTTTGCAATTTTAAGAGTGCTGCATCCCTCTGCAAGATATCTCACTATTTTTGACTTTTCTGAGCCTGTCAAGTCCTTCTTTTGACCCATTTTGCCAAAGGAAAGGAAGTTGCCTAATAATTATGCACACCTGATATAGGGTGTTGATGTCATTAGACCACACCCCTTCTCATTACAGAGATGCACATCACCTAATATGCTTAATTGGTAGTAGGCTTTCGAGCCTATACAGATTGGAGTAAGACAACATGCATAAAGAGGATGATGTGGTCAAAATACTAATTTGCCTAATAATTCTGCACTCCCTGTACATCTCCCCATACACTCTTTACCCCATTCTAATATCTCCCCATTAGCCCAGTCAATATAGGGATTGTGCTTACTCAGCCACGGAAACCCTAATATGATAGGACATGATGGAGAAGTAATAACCTGAAATGTCATCTCCTCCCTATGGGAAGCCCCAATGGAGATCGTAATATGGACAGTTTCGTGGGTTATAAGCGGTTGTGTGAGTGGTCTACCATCAATAGCCTCTACAGCTAGCGGCGTAGGTCTCTCCCTGACCGGTATCTCATTACCCCTAATAAACTGGACATCAATAAAATTTCCAGCAGCACCTGAGTCCATTAGGGCACTGCAAGAAAACTTCTTGTTATCAAGGGAAATAGATACCTCAAGGAGGAATCTACTTTTGTTTTTGTTAGAGGACAACTCCATCACACCTAAGATCTGTCCCCTTAAGGTTCTTAGGTGCGGAAGTTTTCCGGACGCACTGGACAATTAGTTATCATATGTCCCTTTCTACCGCAATATAGGCATAACCCCTCCCTTCTCCTATACTGTTTTTCGGCCTCTGACAGTCTAGTGACCCCCAACTGCATAGGTTCGGGTTCGGACTGTACAGGGAGGTTAGACAAAACAGGTTTAGAGAATTGAGGTGCTAGGGACATAGCCGTACGTCTGGTCTTGCTTCTGGTGACTTCTCTGAGTCTTAACCTATTATCAATATGCATGACAAACGTAATAAATTCGTTAAGACTCTTAGGTAATTCTTTAGCGGCTATCTCATCTAGTATAGTCTCTGAGAGACCCTTTTTGAATGCTGAGATTAACCCATTGTTAGTCCAGTCTACCTCGGAAGCTAAGGTACGGAATTCAATAGCATAATCCGAGATAGACCGGTTACCTTGTCTGATGTGCATTAGGGCAGTGGAGGCGTCATCCTCTCTACCCAATGGCTCAAACGTGAGCTTGAATTCGGCAAGGAATTCCTGGTAATTATGAGCTATGCTCCGATTACTCTCCCACAACGGATTAGCCCAGGCAAGGGCCTTGCCCTTTAATTGATTCATTAGATAACCAATTCTTGCTCTGTCCGTGGGGAATGACCCTGGTGAGGCCTCAAAATGGTACTCCACCTGATTAAGAAAACCCCTGCATTCCTGGATATTGCCATCAAACTGTAGGGATGGTGATAAGGATATGCTAGGAGTCCTATTAACAGTGGGAGAAGGTACACAGGGTAGAGGTGCTATAGGAGGAGACGCTGCAGGCTGCAGATGCTCCGTTCTAGCGAGAAGCGTACTTAAAGCCTGAGTGAACTGATCCATGCGGTGATCATTCTCCTCTAATTTCCTCTCGCAAGCAGCTATGTGCTGACACAGCTCTACAGGATCTATGGCCATGTCGTACTGTCAGGATTACTGTTTGATCCAGCACGTAGAACTGTACAGCACGAATGACAAATAAGTAACGTATTACCGGTCCTTAGAATGGCCGGATTTAACGTACAAAGAATAGTCAAAATTACTAGCCGAGGTCAGGGAACGCAGAAAGGGACACAGCGATGAGGAAAGCCAGGAGTCAGGATACCAGAATATAGAGAAGTCAATAAACAAAGCCAAAGTAAAAAACCAGGTAGAAAACTATAAACAGGAACGCGCTCTCGGACAACCACAAGGGAAACCACGACAGGGCACTGAGCAGGCTGAGAACTGGGCCTAAATACCCCTCCTTTAGTTCTGATAGGCTGTAACCGGCCTTTGACCCCAAAGTCAGTTACCAGGTTTCATTTGCATAATTGCTGCTCAGCATTAACCCTTCTGTGGATTAGGTTGCTGCTCGGCACAACTTTTCCTGTGTGGACAGTAAATGTCATTAACCACTTTTCTATAAGCGGATGAATACATGACACCAGGTTTCATTTGCACAATTACTGCTCAGCATTAACCCTTCTGTGGATTAGGTTGCTGCTCGGCACAACTTTTCCTGTGTGGACAGGAAATGTCATTAACCACATTTCTATAAGCGGATGAATACGTGACACCCAGCTAGTGAATACATCCCAGATCCGGTAATAGGTATTCCTTCTTCTGGACTGTAACAGGGTAGAAATGACTGCATCAGAAAAAAACCTTTCTCCCTTAGTTGTCTCCTCTCAATCTCCATGACTTTTACTGGAGTATTCCAGGAGCTGGATGCTACAGAGGTTCTTGAAAGAGAAGATCCGGCTTGACTGGGAGAGGCATTGAATCTTCTATTGAGAGGCTCCAAAGAAGACGGAACTAGGGTTCCTCAGCTAAAATTGAATCACTGCTGTGACTTCCATGTGCTCTCTCTGTAGCCTCTTGAGTAGCCTGAAGATAAGGGGGATTGGAGGAAAGACATATTCCCTCCTGACGTTCCTATCCCTCTGCTCAAGGATGAGGATTCCTGGAAAGGAACCTGCTGACCTGCTTGGTAATGAAGGATGTCATTATGTCTATCTCCAGAACTACCCATTTCTCCACAATCATTTGAAATGCCCATTTGGCCAAGCACCATTCCCTTGGTTGTATCTGGTGCCTGCTGAGGAAATCCACCTGGAGGCTGTAGGAACCTGGAAGGTAAACTGCTGGTGGACCTTGGATATGTCTCTGAGTCCAATTCATGATAGGGAACATAACCCATAACATATTTAAACTGTTAGTTTGATGTAAGCTACAACTGATATGGTTGATGTAAGCTACAACTGAGGTGTTGTCCACCTGAAGCTTCACCCATGAAGGGCTTTGAAGACTGCCATTAACTCCAGCATGTTGAACAAACTCTCCTTCATGTGTGAGGCCATGTCTCCTATACAAAGGTTTGTCTCTACATCCTGAGAGACAGGTATCTGTTGTTATCACCTTCCAGTCTATTTCTCCATGGGGAAATCCATGAAACAGGTTCACATCCTTTCTCCATGATAAAGCTCTCTCAACTCTGGTACAGAGGAGACTCTTTTGTTCGAGGGATTGGAATCTGAATTGTGACAGATAAGAGCTTTCAGGGATCCTCAGATGCTAGTGAGCTGAGCCTACTTTGTCAAAGACAATGGGGATCCCAATAGGCTCATGAACTAGTGTGCTGGAACATAACATAGAGGGAGTAACGCTACGATTTTCTTCTTTAGTCTGTCTGCTTAGTCCTTTGAGAGATACACCATCCCTTGACATGTGTTGAAATACTAATTCAGAGCAATGTCTGATTTTGATTATAGACCATTTGGAACCTTGGGTAGCTTATTTGACTCCTTCTGCCCGACTTGTTGGATTTAGGTAATAACATTCAAAGGGTTAGAACCTGAGTAATGGCTCATAGGGGTATCTGCTGCCAAACAGATCCAGGACAAGCACAGCATTTTCCCTACAACTAGCAAGTTGTTACAGGCATCGTAATGAGTAGGTCGAGTCTTATCCACAGAGGAAACTGGGGATCTGCTTGGAGACCAGAGGAAACTGTAAGTTATATAAATAAGTATAGATTGAAATATAAAGGGTTCTGAGACCAATAGAATCACCTCAAAGGTCTCTTTTGTAAAAAGGATAACATTGAAAATGGCTTACTTTGATTCTCTAGAGTACGACCTATAGCTCTTGTGTGCTGGAGAGGCCATAATAGCAAATCCCAGAGCAGCTGTTAAAAGGGATTAACTAACACTTATCTGTGTAAGCAGAGGGGGGTAATATATTAGTAAATATATGTATAAACCTACACAAACATATATTTTAATCAAGAGAGTTGAATAAATTAAAAACTAAATATCTGAAAATAAGACACCACAGGATCACCAGATCTAATAGAGGGCTTGGAAAACCTGCTCAAAGAAGAGAACTTTCTGAGAGTGTCAGAACCACTGAAAACCAAAAAGTCAGCCAAAAAAGCTTTTAAGAAAAACACTGTTGCCTAGCAACATTCTTACCATAAGTGCCACATTCGCACTAGCGAATTTGCACCGAATGCCGAATGAAGTTGAATGCCAACCTAATTTCAACTGAATTGTGAATGAATTTTAGCTGAATTGAAGCTGAATGCCAGCTGAATTGAAGCGGAATGTTAGCTGAATTAAATCCAAATCCAAATTAAATTCAAATACAGATGTACCTAATGCAGACCAAATTAAATTACAGGACTTCAGACTGCAAAGTAAAACACTAGCAGTCCCGATACCCAAGCTTCCCAGCACTAATTTTATTATAGTACTATTCTTTCTAGTTCACCAGAGAGCTTAGAAGGATTCACAATGGGCTTTACGCTCCAAGCTGCTACCCAAGGGTCATTTAAGGGGGTTCTGCAGGGGGTCGCCCTTGGTGAATCTGCAGCTTCTGGAGGAAGAGAGGCTGAACTCCTTCTAGGATAAGGGTTAAAAAAACTGGTATGCCATAAAAAAAATTATTAAAGCGGCACTGTCATGCCAAACCTTTCCCTAACTGCTTCCTATTCTCTTCCTCTCTCAGGATCTGTTCTTCATTTCTTCCTGTCTGCTCTAGTTTTCTTTAAAACATAAGACAAAGTAGGGTCTATTTTGCCTTGTGTATTTTTCCTACGCTTGACCAGTTTTGACCAGCGGAGGAACAAGGTGTGCTCCATTTCCTGTGGTCAGAGCAATTTCCCACAATTCTCACCTTTCCTCCGTGTTCTTGCGATGCCTCCTTTCACTATTCCCGAACGTCCTGTCATTTAGACAGAATGCTGGCGAAACTACCGGCCCTAATAGAATGAGAACAGTTTGATCATTCATGTTAGGGCGACAATGAGTACTTGTAGGTCAGTTCGAAATTTCATTCTAAAGAATGAAATTCCGATCCAATCAGTGCTGCGGCTGCATCTTGCAGCCGCTTAGTAGATAGCTCCCTAATTCCCACGGTATACTACTTTTTTTTTTTGGGGGGGGCGCTCGTTTTTTATTTTTGTTTTATAAGTTCAACGGGTGTTATGAACTTTTATATGCCTTTTTGGGGGCTAAAAAAAGAAAATTTTAGAAAAAAGAAGACATCAAATGCTAAGTATTTTTTACATTTATTTACAGGCATTTAGTTTTTTTGGCTCCCCCCTCACTATTTGTAGGGTGAGGGGGGTAGGTAGGGCTTTATTTAATTTTATTTGGGTAGGAGGGTGACTAGGATCTTGGTGACTCCTAGTCACCTGGGGGGGTTTACATTAAGCCCTCACCTGTCACCCATGGGTGGAGGCCAGGGGGAGGACATTAGATCCCCCCTTATTTGTAACTTAGGGCCTCCACCTGTCGCTCATGGGTGGGGGCCGAGGGGAGGACAATAGGTCCCCCTAATTGTCATTAATGGCCCCCACCCGCTGCTCATGAGTGTGGGCCAGAGGTAGGGCAATAGTTTTCCCCCCATTGTCATTTAGGGCCCCCCTGCCACTCATGGGTTGGGGCCGGGGGGGAGGACAATAGGTCTTGCCCCCTTATTGTCATTTAGGGCCCCCATCTGCTGCTCATAGGTGGGGGCTAGGGAGAGGACAAGAGGTCTCCCCCACTGTCATTTAGGGCCCCCACCGGTTGCTCATGGGTGGGACCAGTGGGGGCACTAGATCCCCCCCTTATTGTCATTTAGGTCCCCCATCCGGGCTGCTCACTGTTTAGTAGACATGCCCCTACTCGTGGCATAGCGAGTAGGGGCATTTGGGAAATTTCAATCTCCCTTATGCTAAGTTGGGGGTCATATTAACCCCCATAGAGTGAAGGAGGACATGGGGGGCTTAGGAAGTGGCAGGGAGCACAGCTCTCTGCCGCTTCTATCTTTACATATTACAAGGAGGGAGCTGCACGCCGGTAGCTCCCTCCTTATATTAAGCTAAACGAACGAACAAATGAACACTAATATTCGGTGTTTGTTTGTTTGTCTGACATTTCTATTAATTCATTCATCTGACATTTCTATTCATTCAATAGCCCCAGTGTTTAACTGGGCATGCGTGGGAATTTTACAGCGCTATCTAGTGTGGGCAGATGACATGTCCCAGAGGGCCTTCATCTACACACATAAATATGGCAGTGCCCAGGACCTAGGTCCAGGGACAAAAATGTTTTTTTTAAAAAGGTAAAAAGGGGGGGTCTAGGGGCATTTGTGGGGAATTGATGGGAAAATAGATGTAGTGGAGTCGGGAGGGAGGTTAAAAAAAATGGATGCGGCCATGACACTGCCGCTTTAAGCATGGACAATTGCATAAAATAAAACTGTCTTAGGGAGTGTGGGCAGGAAAAAAATAAAGTGGGTCTGGGGCCAGAAGGGAGGTATTTATAGACATTATTACATTTTCCTGTCCAGTGGGAGTGGTGAGTAGAGTAAACCCAGGAGTAGTGTTGTGATGGTCATGGCCAGGAAAGTTTGAGATTTCCAGCTTCAGAATTTCATTGTTGTCCTAACTGCAGTTTTTTTTGTTTGTTTTTTTTTATAGATAAATGTCAGTCATTTCTGATGTTTATTGAGGGCATATTTATTTACACAGATTATACTTGTTTCACAATTTTGTATTTAGTGATTCACATTAGCAGAGGCCTAAAAATTACACAGATTTGACATGTGGCTAGCAGCATAGGGGAATATAATGAATGTACTATTACACAGAACAATTTGTGGATCGTGCCAGTTGTATAATAAAGATACAGATACATATATAACAGATACGAATATCAATTAGGCAAAGGAAACTTCTATTCAGGCCAATATAGCCAAGTTAGAGAAATTTGTCAAACTCTGCTTGGCAATGAAAAACCGTAACAGCTGATCATGTCACGAATAAGTCTCATAATAAAGGCCAGAAGCATGTGTGAATTTTGAAGATATGTGAATAGGCCATGTGAGGACTGTTATGTGATAAAACATATAGGAGGGCTCTAATTTGAAATGTAGATATATTTTAATTGTTCATTCTCAGGGTTATTTACTAATGGAGGATTTTCGGAAATCCAAAGTCAATTCAAAGTGAATTTAACATTCAAGGCCAAAGTAATCGAACTGAAAGCCTAGCTGACTTGAATACATTTTCCAATTCAGCTACTTTGGCCTTCGATTTGAGCTTGTACGGAATTCACTTTGAATTGTCAGTTTTCTTCCGTTGTGCATTTAGCCAGTTGTGTCATTTCCTAGTGTCAGAAGTATAGAATTTTACAAAATGTTTAAAAAAAAAAACACAGTATATTATGGGACATTACCACTTACAGTAATTTTGCTAACTTATATTTTTTCTTTAACTTGCCATACAGGACTGAAAGCAAGATAACGCTGCAAACTGCTGCAATTAAGAGGGCGAATTCTACATATAAAGCAATCATTGCATCCGAAGTAGAAATTTTTAGACCGAGAAAGTCAACGAAGTCAGATTCATCTTTCTCTATGGGCTCTGTAACGACAGCAGTGTGACCCCCAGAGGTTTTGGCTGGAATTGCAGTTGTACCTTCTAACGGTGTCTCCAGGCAAGCATGAGGTCCATCGGCTGGGTCAGGGAACCCATTGCATTGCATGAGAGTTCTGTAATACGCTGCAGACTGCTTAGGAATACGTGGTAAGTTTGGATCTGAGTAATTTGTGTAATACAAGCCGAATCGTTCAGCGTATCCAGTTGCCCACTCGAAGTTGTCCATTAGACACCAAGCTGTGTATCCTCGGAGGTCTACACCATCGTACTTGACAGCTTTCAATGCTTCATTCACATAAAGCTTGTAGTAATGTTCTCGCCACTTATCATTCAGATTTGTCCCACGTTCCGAAATGCCATTCTCGGTTACATAAATTGGGGGGTTGTTGTATTCTTCCTTTATCCAGTTTAATATTCTTCGGAAACCAAACGGTGTCACTTTCAACCAAATGGAGCCAGAACCCAGCCAGCTTCGGTCGGTCATAGGATTCACAGCCCTGTCAGCGTCATATGATTGGATAGATTGTGGGAAATTGATGGGAGACGCCAGGATGGAAAATAATCATATGTTCCTTTTATCCTTTTCTTCTCGCTTTCTGTGAATTCTGGAAGTCGTGATGTCGTAAGTCCTTGAGCAAGACTTCTCTCCCGAATCCTGGATTTCATGATTTCATTGTAGTCACCATTCTTGAAAATTGGATTTGCAAACCATCCACCGTAAAAGCTCATATATCTCTTTGCTGCGTCTACATCCTCCTGCTTGTAGGGGTTTCTTGGTTCTGCCCAGTCAGAGTTAATGGTGATCGATATGATGCCACCATGTTTGGCCTGGTAGGTATCATTGTAGAGATGCCATGCCTCGGCGTGTGCTTTAATGAGGTTATGTCCCACTTTATAAGGTAATATACCGGGTCTTGATGAAATTCCTGGGGCTGCTGAGCCATACCCGTGACCCAGATTGGCAATGATGTATGGTTCATTGAGTGTTATCCAGAACTTCACTTTGTCTCCCAGTCTGTCAAAAAGGAATTCCGAATATTCCTTAAATCGTTGCACAATAGTTTCATTCTCCCAGCCCCCAACATCTTGCAGAGCTTGCGGAAGATCCCAGTGATAAATTGTAACCTGGGGTATAATTTTGGCAGCCAGTAGTTCATCAATAAGTCGAATGTAGTAGTTCAGTCCCCGTTCATTTACATGGTTTGTTGTACCATCAGGTAGAACTCGTGGCCAAGAGATTGAAAATCGATAATGTGTAACTTTCAGGTACTTCAGAAGTTCTATGTCTTCTTTCAGCTTGTTGTAACTGTCACAGGCCACGTCTCCATTTTCATCATTGTTTATTCTGAATGGAGAATGGGCAAACTTATCCCAAATGCTCAAACCTTTGCCATCAGCCCTCCAGGAGCCTTCAATCTGATAAGCTGCAGATGCTACACTCCAGGCAAAATCTGAGCGGAAATGTCCATAGAGAAACTCATCTTCTTTGTCCAATGAAATCCCATTGTTCCGTATAACATCAGCATAGTACAGAGCAGAACGTTTAGGGGTTCTTGGCCGATTAGGTTCCTGAAAATTCACGTGGTGGAGCCCGAACCGCACTCTATATCCAACGTTCCATTCAAAAGTATCCATAAGAGACCAAGCAGTGTATCCTTTTAAATTCACCCTATCGATACTGTGAGCTTTCAAAGCTTCGTCTATGTAGGTCTTATAGTAAAAGATGCGGTTGGTGTCATCATAATCATTGCTATTGTCAGTAGCCACACCATTCTCAGTGATATAAATTGGAATATCTCCATATTCTTCTTTTATCCAGTTTAGTAGTCTTCGTAGTCCCCAGGCCACTGCCCTGTGCTCACTAAGCGCTGTTGATGGCCAGAGTGTATTGATACTAGTTTCAACATCCATATCGCCTTCAAAAGATGCTGGGGTTATCCTCATTGCTTTGTGAGTAACTATTGTTGTCGAGTAGATGTTAATGCAGAAAACGTCGGCTGTGCCCTGCATCTCAGCTTTTTCGCTAACTGCAGTTTTTGACATTGTAAATCCTTGGTTTCTTTTCCTTCACTGTCTGTCTGTGAAATAAAAGACTCATCTCATGCTGTATTTAAAATTAACTAGGTTACACATCACTTTATTCAAATAATGCTGCTTCCTGACAAGGTCCTGGTCTGTGGCATTTTATTTGAGCTGTTTTATTGCACATTCCATTTTTGCATGTCATTTCTTGAATTTCTAAGTAAATAAATATGTCTGTACAGAGTCAGTGGATATGCGATAATTAGAGTAGATGAGTAAAATAAAACCCTTTAAACTCAAACAATATACTTGAAACTATGGTCACAGAGGGTGAGTTTTTAAAGATATTCTTTCAAACTCGTAGGATATTTATAGTATTATTTTTTTAAATAAATTTTATTGCTTGGACACTTAATATTAGAGCATGTAAAATCTATTAATCAGATGCTTATTTTTATAATGATTTGAGCCCATACTGGAAGAGACATTATTATTAATATAAAGAGAGAGGGTACGAGAGTTCTCTGGAATTTACTGATGACATGGCTGAGGGTGAATTGGACAATTCTGGAAAAGCCATATACCCGTATATACTCATGTATAAGTCGAGTGCAGTTTTGTGACCAACAATTGTGAAATATGCTATGCATCGTGGATAAGTCGAGGGTAAAACTTGGGGCTATGAAATTCTGTGATTTTTATAATTATATACACACACACTCATACAAACACACACTCTGCATTATATATACACACACTAATACAAACACACACTCTGCATTATATATACATACACACTCATACAAACACACACTCTGCATTATATATACACACACACACTCATACAAACACACACTCTGCATTATATACACACACTCTGTGTATATAATGCAGAGTGTGTGTGTTTGTGTAGTGTGTGTGAACCGGGTGGGGGGAGGGCATTTTTATTATTTTAATTTTTTTTATATTTTTTTTTTTTTATTATTTTAATTTTTTTTGTCCCCCCTCCCTGCTTGTTAACTGGTCAGGGAGGGGGGCTATCTTAATCCCTGGTGGTCCAGTGGCATGGGCTGTGAAGTGGGGGGGCCGGCAGGAAGCATTTACTTACCTTTCCTGCAGCTCCTGTCAGCTCCCTTCTCCTCCGTTCCGGTCAGCTCCACTGTAAGTCTTGCGGTCTGGTTGCCGCGCGGATCGTTGCCATGGCTCTGACGGCCGCGGCTCTCTAAGTTGCCATAATACAGACAGTGACTCGAGTATAAGTCGAGTGGGGGTTTTTAAGCACAAAAAATGTGCTGAAAAACTAGACTTATACTCGAGTATATACTGTAGGTTGTGATTGAGAAGGCTGCTATACTCTTTGAGAGTGCTCCATAAATTTTATATATAAAGGACTGTTAAGCTTGCAGTGTTTCAGCAATAGGTGAAGGTTTAGTATAGTGATGGGCAAACATGCTTTTTTATGTACTCAAGTCTGCTATATGTGAGATATTTTTAGTCAAAGTTAACACCGCTTAGTTTGCATGAAAATAGTGCAGCAACCACTAATTGTGGAGTTCACCAAGACAAGAACAAAGATAGCCAAATAGCTTAACTGATAATATCTGTGTGTAGGTATACAGAGTGGTCCTAAAGTATGGGTTTAATGGGAGAAGGAGCACTGGGAAATAGGCAAATCACAATGTTTTTGGTTTAGGTTTTGTCCCGTGGTGTTTCCTGCTTACTTGAGCTGCTGTGACTCAGATTTCCTTACTTCACTGTTTTGTCTGCATGCTTGATGATACACCACAGTGGTTCATTGTCCAGGCTCTACGTGCAGAACTGAGGTAACGCCTAGGTAGACAGGAAATCTAGATGGACAGAGGTGTATTATCAGTCTTTAGTGGTGGCTGCGATTAATGCTAATAGGAAAGTGAATAAAAGACCTTAAGAAAAGATATAGAATAGTGGAATACAAACCAAGATCTGGGACAACAGAAGACAGCAATAACGGGTACATAGACTAGGGTCAAGGAGTACCCAAAGGATAATAATAGTCATATAAAAGCCAAAAGTCAATAACCAGTAATTAAGACAAAACATTAATGTGCGGCATGGTTGAGCTGATAAGCAAAATGGACAGCTGAGCCTGCTCTCTCCTGTGGCCTAGTGCAATACTGGACTACCATTGGGCCCTCAAAACCCTCACAGAGTGCTCTTCTCCCAGAGGATTTGATTAAAAAAATTAGTGTTGCTTTTTCTTAGGGTGTTAAAGGAGAACATAATTTATTATTGTTTACTATAGATTTGAACTGACAATAATTAGCTAGCAGTAAGTTCTTGGTGCCAGAATACTATTCTGCTGCTGACACCTCCTAAAGAAATTTAGGGGATCTTTCCAACTTATATGATTTGATTGATGCCATATTATCACAAGTGCCTTTCAAGGATTATACTACACACCACAGAGGCTTCAGTGTCATGAGTGAGGTTGGAAATCTTGGTGACTAACTGGTCTGGTATAGAGATGATGCGAACCATCCGCAAACTTCTCGCGAACGGTTCGCCACGGTTCGCCACGAACTGTTCGAGGCGAACTCCGGTCAGCTGACACATCCCGGCCAATCTCCAGCAGACCCTCCCTCCCAGACCCTCCTACTTCCTGGACAGCATCCAGCCTTCAACATGGATGCTGTCCAGGAAGTAGGAGGGTCTGGGAGGGAGGGTCTGCTGGAGATTGGCCGGGATGTGTCAGCTGACCAGAGTTCGCGGCGAACCGCGGCGAACCGTTCGCGAGAAATTCGCGGACGGTTCGCGACATCTCTAGTCTGGTATTTAGGTTTAGCCTTTGCCTGACACTCCTAACTCTCAGCTATGTTTAGTTGCAGATAGTACATATTTCTGTTATCTATTTCTTATATGCAGTTCGACATAACTCAGATATCATGGGAATGCAGGTGGGAGAGGGACATACAGTTGCCACTTATGAGTCACTGCCACCCAATAATGCTCAGACTAATGCTTCCCTATTAGTCTGAGAAGCACAGAGGGCATGAGCTGCTCGGACTCTCTTTGAAAACAGTTTAACACTAAATTGGATGACTCAAAAACTATAATAACTTCAGTGAGATGAAGCAGTTACAGTACCTACAGTGTCTCTTTAAATTAAACCATAATGTTTGAAAACCACTTCACAATGTTTATCTAGGTAACTAGTATCTATAAAACCATTTCTTTTTAGAATAATTTAACACCCCTTAAAGTAGCATTACATTATGAAATATTTATTATGCCCAAAGAATGAGTATGCATTATAAGATAAGAGACATTTAAAGTGTTTTAAGTAGTAAGCAAAACTGTATTCTGCTAGTTTTATGTTGTGTACTGTAATATTGGCGTGGCCTATGTCCCAGCAAGGTCACTTTCTATGCACATGCAGCAGTTTTTCCATTAAGGTATAATACTGCAAGAAATAGCTTAATTAGAAATCGTATTCTGCATGTAAAATTTAATTATATAAATAACAACAAGATTTAACTTTGTCCAACTGCACTTTTAATTGTTAATTTCTTGAGTATTATCTATAATTTACATATAATATACAAACATGGGTTAAAAAACACCCATACATTGTAAAAACGCTAAAGAAAAAAATAAATGCATTGTACACATGCTAACTGTTTGTCTGCTAATACATTTATGTTAGAGGTGTTCATCTATTAGTTTTAAGTTAATGCTGAATTAAGACATGTAGAGAGGTATTGGTCTTTTAATTCATATGTGGAAAAGAGTGACAAATTATGGTGCAATACGTCTACTACAAATGGATTAGTAATACAACAACAGGATCTAATGTAGTCCTGCTCACGTGCAGTAGAGCTTGAACCAGCACTAGTATGAATGGCATACAGCGGTATAATCCCCGCTTATAGGATGCGTGTAGAGTGGAAAGAATCATACCAATATGTAGACCATAAGAGAGAAGAGAGACAACTGATTGTGCTCGCTGTATAAAATTATATATAAGGAGTATTAATAATGAAACGTGTACTCACATATGATTGAGCAGGCGGACTGCTCAATGACTCATGTGTGAGTGGTATAATCCCCACCTAGGATTTATTTGGAGTAATACTCAGCAGGAAGAAATAAAATCAGGATACCAAGCAGCAATAGTAAAAAATAATAAAAGTGAAATAAAAAAGTAAAATGGCACAATCAAAGTATATTAAAAGTAGCCAAAATACCTTTATGTGAAGACAGAATAAAATACCCATGGAGAGGTGGTGATATTAAAAAGATTTTAGGTAAGTCCCATCAGAGGTGTTGATATCAAAAAGATTTTTGGTCAGAAAGAAATGTACTGGGTTTTCCTTTTAAAAACACTTAACCCAGAAGGGTTAAATGCAGATTTTGACCTTTTCAATTTTCTATAATTCTTTATAGCCTCCTAAAAACCAATGATGTATTTAATTTTATATAACTAATTTTTATGCAACTAATAAGCCTTTTAAAGTACCATTTATAAGATTATTTGCAGTAACTTGTAATTTTTGTGTTTATTTCTATTCAGATTTATTTTAATTTATTTATTTTTATTTATTGTTTATGTAAAATGCATGCATCTTTCCCTTTCTTTATATGTATCCAGATAAATATATTTATTGCTAACATTGAAACATCAATTTTCCCCCTATTATATCCCCTCCCTCCCCCTTCTCTTATTTATAATTTTAATTGGGTTTTATTTTGCCCATTTAGAAAGTTTCTGTGTGCTCCTCTCAGAGGCGGCTCTAGACTTTATGAGGCCTTAGGTGAAATTCAAGCATGAGGCCACACCACCTTGTATTTTGTGTGTGAGTAAGGCTCATTCGCTATATTGAAATGCGGGCTTGGAGCGCTGGATACAAAGAGTCAGTCTCTGCATTAATTCTTTAGAAGCTTGCAGTGTCACGGCTTCCTGTGCCCCTGCATTGTGAGCTCTCTGGCTGTAGTTGTAGCATAATTTGCAAACAAAATTAATTTGCAATAAATAAATTTCATTT